TTTAAATATTGGGTTCTAGATCTGAATTATAACCGTAAACTATTAATTCGATTGCTTTAGTATCCGGTTCAATTCAAACCGAACCGTGGTCATCCCTACGTATACGCAATAATTTGTTGGAGTAGTAAAATAAATAAAATGTTTACTTTAAGGGTATAAATGTCAATTTAATATATCAGGGGGGGAAAAAGCACCACTTTTAGAATAATTGAGGGGGCTAATGTGCTTACCTAAATAATTGAGGGGGAAAAAATGCTATAGGTATATAACTCAGGGGTAAAAAGTGTCATTTTCCCTACCAACTATATTACTTTTGCCATAAACTTAAAGACTTATTATTATTATTAAGGCCCTGAAAACTATTGATAGATTAAAAAACGTAATCAACTTAAACAATAGTTATAATTCTTAAACGCCAAAATAACAACTATAATCCTCAAATCTTTAATGGCTCATAAATAGGACCAAAACTATAATTATAGCACTTAATCACTCCAATTAGACCCATAAACCCTAATGAGTCCAGGGCCGTATTTTAAGTTTGTGTGGCCCTGTTCTTGTAAATAAATGTGACCCTATCAAAATTACAATTTTTAAAATCAATACATGTAAGTTTTGAACCTTTGACCTCCAAGTAAAAATACAATAAATAAACATTCTTGCCATCTCTTCATGGAACCTTTTAAGTTTATTTTAAAACTTTTAATCTTTATTTCTAAACTAGTTAGGTAATATTAAATATTGGACCTCTAAAATTTGGGGCCCCTCTAAAATTGGGGGCCCTGTGCGGTAGCCCAGCTTGCACAACCTAAAATCTATGACATGGATATAAAATGGTCTAGTATTGAAATATATCCAAACATAATATTATTACCAACAATAAATATCATTAATAAAATACGATAGTCAGTAATAATTAAGACTTAATGAACATTTTTTTTTTTTGAAATATGGCGTACTAGTATATTAATTCAGAAATTGAATGATAGAGTCAGGAGGGATTAAATCCCAGTACATAGAATGTTCCTGATCATAGGCTAAACTAGCAAGAGTATGCGCATGTAAATTTAAAGTTCTCGGAATAAAACTAAGCGAACAGTGAACGAAACTACTAATAGCTGTCCTGCACTGCTCCACCACAATTCCAACATAAGATAAGTTCGGTGTAGTAACTGCATGAACCGCATTCCTTAAGACAAGACAATCTGTAAGAATATCCACCTCGTTCTCGTTTCGGTCTTTAAGCCAAGACAAGGCTTCCTTGCATGCTAGTGCTTCTGCCATAAGAGGGGTTAAACACCCCGGGAGCCTTCCGTTTGCCGCTGCTTTGAACAAATCATTCGGACCGATTAAGACAGCCCCATAGGTTGCATTTCCAGTTCTCGGATCGTATCCGGCATCGACGTGGCATGTCGACCGCCCGGCTGCCACTGCCTGCACCCCGCCGGCCAGTGTCGCCGCTGGACGAGAATGGAGTGCCGTGTAGCTCGCCTCCCCCACCGCTACACAGCGCCACACCACCTCCGGCCTCCGTACCGCATGTTCCCAGACCGCCTCGTTTCTGGCCATCCATAAAAAATAGAGGACCCCCACAACGCGTCTGACCTGTTCGCCTGTGAGCATATCCATAACAGTCATAAGCCACTCCGGGAAAGACGTAGAAAAAATATTCATAATAGGCAACCCTGAAATATTCCATACGTCTCTAGAATAATCACATAAAACTAATGAATGCATAACATTCTCATTTGTAAGACCACACAACATGCATGTTGGGTTCACCTCTACCCTCTTCATAATCAAATTTGTTGTGGTTGGGAGTATATCACACACCGCTCTCCATATAAAAGTTTTCTATTTGGGTGGGACTTTCAACTTCCACAATGTAATCCATCTATTAAACTCCCCCAAAGTGTGACTAAACTCCCCCATTAGACGCCTATAAGCATCTTTTACAGTGTAGCAACCATTTGAGTCATTATGCCAATACCATGTGTCTTTATAGTCTGGGCTCACAGGTATTTTCAAAATACGATCCACATCCTCAGGTTCAAATAGATCTGTTAAAATATGAGGGTCCCATGTTTTTGTTTGCTGATCTATTAAACCTGCCACAACTGCATCCCTTAATGGTTCAGGCATCACTGTTTGAACAAGTGGACTAGGATTATCCTGCAACCACGGATGACCCCATATCAAAGTTTCCTGGCCATTTCCAATTCTCCTGCGGACGTGGGCAATAACAAACTCATGAGCAGCCATAATACTTCGCCAACAAAACTGGGATTATTTCCCACCGTTGCATCAACAAAAGAAGTTTTAGGGTAATATCTTGCTTTATACACTCGTGCTGCCAGAGATCCCGGATTTGTTAAGAAACGCCATGCCTGTTTACCCAACATCGCAAGATTAAAATTCCTCAGATCTTTAAACCCCAATCCACCAAACTTTTTAGGGATACACAATTTATTCCATGCTTTCCAGTGGATTCCTCCGTCTGGCCCTTTCCCCCACCAATACCTATTCATGGCCCTTTGTATTGACTCGCAAACTGATTCAGGGAGCAAAAAAACACTCATTGAAAATGTGGGCATAGACTGAGCCACACTTTTCAAGAGCACTTCTTTACCAGCCTGTGATAACAATTTCTTGTTCCACGAGAAAACTCTTTGTCTGATTTTGTCTTCTATATAAGAGAAAACAGCCCTTTTATTTCTCCCTATAAAAGAGGGTAGCCCCAGATATTTTCCAAAATTCCTCGCCCGTTCCACGCCCAGACAGTCCGCTACTTCCTCTCTCATTTGTTCCCCAATGTTCTTACTATAACATATATTAGACTTATGATAGTTTACCAACTGACCAGATAACTCCCCATACCTTTCCAAACACTGCTTGACCACCATAGCTTCCTGGACATTTGCTTTAAAGAACAACAAACTATCATCAGCAAAAAAGAGGTGTGATATTGGGGGGGGGGGGGGGGCTCCCCTAGCCACTCTACAACCGTGAATAGAACTTACTGCCTGCTCCTTCTGTAAAAGCATGGATAAACCTTCAGCACAAATAATAAATAAGAAAGGCGAAAGTGGATCTCCCTGTTTGAGACCCCTTGTTGGTTGCACCTGGCCTCCACTCACGCCATTCACCATAACACTGTATGATACAGTGGTAACACATGTCATTATCAGCTTAATCCACCTTTCATCAAAACCCATTACCTCCAACATCCTTTTCAAGAATGGCCACTCCATTCTATCATAGGCTTTCGCCATATCCAGTTTAAGCGCTCCCCACCCAGCCATTCCACATTGTTTACGATTCAAAAAATGGCCCACCTCCGCCGCCACAAGTATATTATCCGTTATAAGCCTACCTGGGATGAAGGCACTCTGGGATTCTGAGATTAGATCCCCCAACATAGGTTTCAACCTGTTGGCAATCATTTTTGCCATAATCCTATACAAGACATTGCTCAGGGCAATAGGCCTCAAATCCGCCACAGTTGTAGGATCATTCTTCTTCGGGATCAAAACAATATTGGTAGCATTCAAATCACTCGGAATTTCGCCTAAATTCAAGCAATTAACAACAAAAGCAGACACATCCTCCCCAACTATATCCCAAAAAAGCTTATAAAATCCCGGATTCATTCCATCCGGTCCCGGTGCCTTGTCAGGATACATGGCAAATATAGCAGTTTGACCTCGACCACATCATAGGGACACAACAATGCCTCATTCTGGTCAGTCGTCACACGGGGCCCAAACTCATCAAATAAAGGGTCCACACACACAGGATTACTAGTAGCAAAAATTGTACTGAAATAGTTGATTACTACATTATTCATATCCTATCCCTCCACCCATACCCCATTCTCATTCAACAGCTTAGAAATAAAATTCTTTTCTTTCTAGCAGAAGCATACCTGTGATAATACTTCGTATTCGCATCTGCTCCACGAAGCCAATGCTGCTTCGCTCTCTGCCTCCAAAAGACATCTTCCTGGGCTTCTAACTGGGAGATCTGATTATTCAACAGCTGGAACTGAGCCAAAGATGCCGGATCCCTCCTACCACGGATCCGCCCCTGCTCCTTGCGGAGTCGCCGGATATGCTCTCCAAACTTATGAAAATGGTCACCGCCCCAGCGCATGAGTCTATCCCCACATTGTTGCTGACAATTCAACAACCCCTCTGTCCTCCCCCCTTGCCAGGCAGTTTCCACCACTTCTCTACACCCCTCATCCAGCAGCCACGCCATTTCAAACCTGAAACTCCTCGGAACCCTTCTTCCTCCCCTTCTTCGTGCATTCATATCAAGAAACAGAGCTGAATGATCCGAGTTACTAGTAATTATGTTCTCCACACCCGCCCCTCCATGCACATCACACCACTCCATCGTTGTCAGCACCTTATCTAATCTCTCCTCCAACCATTGATCCGTTCCACTATATTTCTCCCATGTGAACTGATATCCCCTCATAGGCAACTGATGCAATCCACACTCATCCACAACTTCACTAAAACCCCGGAGAAAGTTATCTGGATGTGGATTGGTTCCCCTTTTCTCATGCTGGAATAAGAGATCATTAAAATCTCCTATTACAACCCACGGAAGCGGAGATTTCCCCACCAATGATTTTAGCAACTCCCATGATTCTCGCCTTTGACTACTCTTAGGGAAGCCATAGAAACACGTCATACGCCATGTCTCACCTGATGTCATACGGACCTCAATATCCACATGGTTTTTTGAATAGCCCAGAAGCGTAGCTGTATTATTCCTCTTCCACAACAAAGCCAGACCCCCACCATTCCTCACATTATCCACATAGAACAAACCTTCAAAACCTATCCTGACACGGAGCCTCTCCGCATGATCTCGTTTCACCATTGTTTCCATTAGAAATACAAAGTCAGGCTTCTTACCGGACATAAGGTCCACAATCTCTCGAACTGTACGTGGATTGCCCAAGCCACGACAGTTCCAACTTATCGTACTCATGATGATGGGCGGGACTGGGCTCCAGTTCCCGCCGGTCGCAAGTTTTTTGACACATCGGTCATAGCCACATCCTCTCCTTCACCCTCAGCCCCTCGGCGGCGCTTGACAGTTGCCACCACTCCCTCCACCCTCTCCCCAACCCCCATACTACCCTCTGTTATCTCCCCCTCTTCCCGCCCCCCTGCACCGCCACCATCCACACCCTCCCCCACCTCCTCCCTCACCTTAGGTTTCGGTTTCCCCCCAACCGGCACTAGCCAATTTTCTCCCACCGCCCTCGGCGCTCCCCTACTTCCTCCCGCCCGTAACCCTACAAACGGGTGCTTCTCAACCGGTGTCGGCCTCTCACGTGCTTTCAGACAGAACATGTGAACATGACCCAACATCCCACAAAACGAACAGTGTTTGTGCAGACGTTCATACTGAAAAGTTATCCAACTTACCGACTTATCTCGTTTCACCAACTTCATGCCACGCCTCAACGGCTTCCCTACCACAATAGACACACGGATTCGGTAGAACGTGAGCCATGGTGCCCCCGCGAACCTCTCATCATGTTTCACAAACTTGCCTATAAAGTTCCCAACCTGCTCAAGTACTGTATCCGACGTATATCCCATCGGCAATCCATGCAACTGAACCCATATATCAATTGAATTCAGCTCGACCTCCCCCGGCACCGCTCCGGCCACCACCTCCCGGCATACCAAGGTATTATTCTCGAAACCCCATGGACCCCCATCCAAGACGTAGTCTATGTCCGTCTTATGATAAAAGACAAACAAGAAAAGTCCCGGTTGAATCTCCGTAACCTGCACCCCCCTCACCGGTTGCCATACGGATGCCATAACCTGCTTCATGAACTCCAATTTAACCAGCTTCGTAGTTAGGAACCTGCCGACAACATCCCACGTCTCCTCGTCATCCACCTGGAGTGCACCGACTCCTTCCCCTACCGGCACAAACTCATCCTGTTCATCCTCCAAATCAAAACCCTCCCACCGCGCTGTCAACTTCTCGACGTCACTGTTTTCCTCCGCCATGCCTGCTGCGTTCTGTCTGCCTCGCTCTACATCAGGAAAAGGCCAGCGCCCCTCGTCACAGAGATCCGACGCCACTCGCCGTAGAAAATCGACTGGAAAACGCAAGAAAACTAGGTTTCCCTAGAGAGAATGCCGAAACCCTAGTTTTACCCTAGAGAGAGAATTTTGTTTAACTTAATGAACATGTTATGCATAATAATTAATATTATTACCATAATAAGCATGTTATTATAAGTAAAGATAAAATAGTTATAATTATCATTAAAATATCACTCAATAATGGTGGGATTCAAACTTTAATGACTCAATATAGGTCCCAAATAGCTTATTCAAAATAGGTTTTAAAGTCATAAAGTGAAATATAAGACTAAAATATGCTCAAAATTAAATAGAAACCAAATAAGCTGTCTTAATAGGTCATAATGTCAAAAATTGACCTAAGGATCCAAGGTTGAATGATATTTAATATAGACTATATATGAGTTAATAATATGTTAATCCAACTTTAATGTACGCTTTTATGAATGTATAATTATAATAAAATAATTTATGAATATACAGAGCATGCTTGGATTTTGCATATTAATATAATATTAACTCATAAATCCTAAATAAATTACAATAATTAAGGCAATTTAATATGCACCTCAATATTAAATTAAAATTCAAATAGCAAATTTAAAACTTAATATTTGCCCATAATTAAATAGTAATTTAATTATGAATTTAATGTCAAAAATTAAGAGGAAACTAAATGGTATCAATATTCCAAAACAAGCAATTACCATACATTTACTAAAAGTATATACAATATTAATTAAGGTAATATATTCTTTTTTATTACAAAGGAATGGGGATACCCACATATACAATCTACGCCAACACTGAAGCTCAAACCCAAAATCTCCCACATAAGGAAGCAGCTGAATATCAATGGACCACAAGGTCCTTAGTATTAATATGACAATATTAAACCAAATAATTATCATTTATCAAAATTAATATGTATAAAATTAAATAAAAGCAAATAAATATTTGGTAAATTAAAGATAATTGTATGATTAAAGCATACCATCCAGGACAAAACTTTCCTTATCTCACGCACCATATAATTAAGGCCTGTATGGCAAAGTCTTACAGAATATGTTTAGTTCTGACATGATATACTTGATTTTTATCTAAAAAGATGACACTTTAATTGCTGTCACAATGTAACTAAACTCCATCTTGCTTAATACTCAATTCTTTATAATTAAACTTAAGAGCTAATTACAGTTTTGGTCCTATGACTATAGGGAGCGTGTTAATTTCAGTACTTGACTTTAAAAACTAACAATTTAACCCCGTAACTATGTAATTTTTAACACATTTGGTCCTTCCGGCCAAATCACCGGTCAAATGTCGTCGGAAAAATGTAAACCATTTTCATTTATTTATTCATAGGGGCAAAATGGTCAATTGACGTTTAAAAAAATAAATAAAAAAAAATTATCTGGTCGAAATCGTACAGCACAGAACACAATCCTCCGTCGGATAACCTCGCTGTAAGCCAAAGCTTCCCGTCGTCGCCAGTGACATCCTGCAGCACAGAACACCATCCTCTGCCGTCGTCCACGTATGCTCGTAGTCGCTGCCCGACTCACCGCTCAGTTTTTTTCTAGTTTTGCCATTATGACCCAGAAAATGAAAAATTAATTCCATTGAATTTTCTTCTCCATTTCCAGTGGAAGCAAGGGTTAATCAAACTCAGAAACTGCACAGTGTTCGTATTAGTTCATTAGATATTTAGGTGTTGGCATGCGTTTTGGTTGTGATGCCTTTTATTTTGTGTTACCCAATTTGGAATTTCGGTAATTCCAGTATTCGGTGGACCAATCGGCGGCAAATAGGCTGCACGAGATCTGTTCTACTGGATTGTTTTAGTTGTGCCCACAAACTGTTTGTTGATATTCCCCAAAGAGGTTGATGAAGGAGATCTGTGTAAGTTGAGCTGGTGAGGTCAGTCGGTTTGGATCCACAGTTAAGGAGCTTGCCTGAATAAACACAAACTAAGATGATGGACGAAGCGTCCAGAGGGGAAGGAAGAAGAAGGCTTGAAATGACAGATTTACCCCCATGATTAAATAATTAAAAATAGTTTATATTTTTCCGGTGACATTTGGTTGTTAATTTGGCCGGGAGGACCAAATGTGTTAAAAATTGCATAGTTGCGGGACTAAATTGTTAGTTTTTAAAGTCAAGTACTGAAATTAACACGCCCCCTATAGTCATAGGACTAAAAGTGTAATTTGCTCTTAAACTTAATTGAAAGCCACAAACTCTCTTTAACTACCACAGTCACACCCATATATTGTGTTTTAGTGGTAGACAAAACTATAATAAGTTGAACCGATGATCTTCAGCAAATAAGACCACCACTAGAGCAAAGCGATATATACCCTATTACAGGGCGTTTGGTTGGAGGGATTTTAAATTTCCTTCCCACTTAATTCCCACCTAATTCCAAAGGCCATTAAATTCCGTAGTTTGGTTGGAGGAAATTGCAATTCCATGGAATTGCAATTCCCACATTTTCATGGAATTAAAATCGCATGTCCCCCTGGGATTTTAATTCCTGGGAAAAAAAAATAGTGATGAGTCAAAATTACCCTTTATTTTTTAACCTAAAATTAATGTCTAACAACAATAATGAACATTTTTGACTTTATACTACTTATTCCCTTACAATTTCCATGTATACCAAACATTGGAATTGAAATTCCCAGTAATTCTATTCTTGTCAACCAAACCCTGGAATTTAAATTTCCACTTTATTCCTAGTAATTCAACTCCCATAGAATTACAATTCCTTTCCCACATAATTCTCCCCTCCAACCAAACGCCCTATTATATTGTAGATCGAAAGCCTATTATCATTATCACCAACATAATCTGAATCCATCCGATAACTAAATGCTCACTCTCTTGACACCCCAAATACAAAGAATTAACTTAATTGTCTCCCAATAACCAATGATGTTTCCAAGTTTAGGCATATACCTACTAATAATATGGCTAACAGTACGTGCCAAATTAATCCGTTTCATTATAACTCCAATAATGACAAGCCTAGGTGGTAAAGGTTCTAAATTTGAATCGTAGGTTATGGGGAGATGTCTATTAGTCGAATTTTACTCAGAGTGTGCATTTGAATAAAAATTACAGACTTTCTTGTAAATAAAAGAGTATAACTATTTACATAGCTACAAATCCTATCATGGATGAATATGGAATTATAAGAAAGTATAGGGGCAATTTGTGTTATTTTTCTTTTAGTTATAATTCATGCTAGCACTCATTACCCATTGTGTACGTGATTAGACATGAAATCGCGAAAAGCTAAGGTAACCGACAAGGAGAGAGAACATCTTATCTAGCGTGAGAATCTATCTGACAATGGAGGAAATCGGAGACGAAGTAACAGTGTCGGCTCCGGCGCCGGCGCTGAGGCTGAAGTGGGACGTGTTCCTAAGCTTCAGAGGCGAAGACACGCGGGATAACATCACCGATCACCTCTACACCGCCCTCTACTCCGCCGGCGTCCGAGTTTTCCGGGACAACGACGGATTGAATCAGGAAGACGAGATAGCGCCGGGACTGGTGGAGGCGATCGAGGACTCGGCGGCGACGATTGTGATCTTATCGCCCAACTACGCTTCTTCGCGGTGGTGCTTGGAGGAGCTGGCTAGGGTTTGTGAGCTCCGGCGACTGGTTCTCCCGGGTCGATCCGTCGGACGTGCGGCGACAGAGGGGATCGTTCGAGGAGGGTTTTAAAAAGCATGAAGGAAGGTTTGGAGTGGAAAATGTGGAGAGATGGAGAAAGGCCATGGAAAGAGTTGGCGGAACTAAGGGTTGGGTCTTCCATGATAGGTAAAACCTTTAAGCTTTTTAACTTTTTACTTTTTTTTCTCGTGGAAGCATTTTGTTTATTTGGTATATATATCTTCTCATCCTTTTTCTCTTCACCATCTCCATCTTAAAATCATCCTCTCATCCTATATAACAATCTACCACCTCTTCAATTCATGTCATCCTTTCACTTATTTAGCAAACGAACGTATAGTATGTATTGGAAATATTGGAATATAACCTGCCGAAAAAGGTGACCCGAGCCTAAAGAAGACGACCTGGACTAAGGTGGTCCCTTGGTCTAGACTCTAGACCATGGAAATTCTGACCAATGTATAGTATGTGAGCCAGGGCCAATTCGGGACACCCAACCATTATCGTCCTGTAGTCTCTCTCGATGGAGGGCCGGAATGGTGGGTTTGAACTAAGCAATCATTATTGTGTGCGGTGGACAATGGTCCGTAAACTTGTTTGAATCATAAATAAAAATATATTATTTGTATATATAAAAGTACATTATTTAATTTAAAAGACTGAAAGTATATTATTTTGTATATTATCAAATAATGTATTTTTAATATATTAAAATATATATTGTATTCAGAGAGAGTACTTTATTTGAGTATTGAAAAATATGTTATTTTGTATAATGTACATTCAATACACAAATAGTTTACTTTTTTATGGTTCAAATAATAATTTTCCTGAGGACAATCTGTAGGCTTTGACCCGTTCTCGCGGTCCACCGTGATTTTAGCTAAGTTTGTTAGACTTTTCTTCTTTCCAAAATGTTGAACCCCAACCCTAAGGTCCCGTTCTCTGTTAGACTTTTCTTCTTTCCAAAATGTTTGTCCTAACTTAGACAAATCATGTTTTATTCCTACCAGATCTATCCTTGTAGTATTCTTACATTAATCTATTGAGTTAATTCCAGCGAAGGTCCTCCGACTATAGTGATTTTCCAGATTTAGTCCTTCTCTTTTAATTTGGATAAATTTGACACTTGACTATCAAAATCTTTCCACCATTGATCCTTCTGTCATCTCAGCGTTATTTAGATGTTAATTTTAGGGGTAAAATTGTCTTTTCATTACTTGGATTGTCTTCTTCCTCACCATACAAGCCAAAACAACATGATAGCAGTCGACGTTGCTACTCCTCAAACTCTAGTCGACGACGCGACTTGGAGTCGTGGGCGGCGGACGGTGGGTGACAGCAAGGCGAGGTAGTGACGGCGTAGCTGGTTTTCCAGCGGAATTGGCGTCGACGACAACAATGGTTTGGCTGAGAGAGAAGGCAGAGGGATGAGGGGGGTCTCGGAAAATAGTGGTGAACGGCGCTGCTTCCCAACCGAGATATAAAACGAGAAGCATATAGCACAAGTTTTGCGAGTAATAGACAGGGGTAGAGAAGACAAACCTCGCAATTAGAACAGGCGGGCTGGTTTGCAGATCCCAAAGGTAAATCTTCCCTTCCCTATTCCCTAGTAGATTGAAAATCAAAGGAAAAGATTCGCACATGTACGTATTTAAGGAGAAACTCGATAACAAAAAGTTTACTTGGCGAAATGATTCATTAACCAATTGCAGGCAGAGATAATGGTAACGTCAAATTGAAAAAGAATGTTTTCATTTTACTTATAGCTGCTGTAGCTTTGAATTGGAAATCGCATGCAAACTTGATGAACCATATGTCGCAATTTGGGACAAGATACTTTTGAAGGATGTCAACCGTACCCTTAAACAAGATCATCAAAGCACAGGATTTTCGTTAATCAACTAGAAATGTTCAAAATTAAAGAAAACCCAAAAAGAAATCCTAACCTTGCCAGGCGACTGTTCTTTCATCTTCGGTTCCCATAATACAGCAGTCGCCGACGCCAATTCCGCCGGAAAACCAGCTATGCCGTCGCTGCCTCGCCTTGCTGCCACCCGCCGTCCTCCGCCGGCGACTCCAAGTCGTGTCTTCGACTGGAGTTTGAGGAGTAGCAACGTCCACGACTATCATGTTGTTCTGGCTTGTAGGGTGAGGAAGAAGACAATCCAAGTAATAAAAAGATAATTTTACCCCTAAAATTAACATCTAACTAACTCTGAGATGACGGAAGGACCAATGGTAAAAAAATTTGATAGTCAAGTGTCAAATTTGTCCAAATTAAAAGACAAGGACTAAATCTGGAAAATCACTATAGTCGGAAGACCTTTGCTGGAATTAACTCTTAGTCTATTCAATATTACAATTTTTACCTTTATTATTTTACCCCTTTAATTTATGTGAGCTTAGTTTATCGGTATAAGGCCTAGTCAATTAGTTCCATGAGTATAAAATATAGCTTGTACAGACATCTCAGTTACTTCTGAATAATAAATTATTGGTAAAGACAATATGAGTCCGGACAGCTAAGTCACCGTGATACCCTGGACAAGCAAAAGTAATGATCATATTATTGAATTTATTGTATTCATAAGTTATGTGATGGTCAAGCATCTTGTGCTCAGATGACATTTAGTGACCTCTTCTATGTGGGAGGTCATGAGATTGAGCCTCAGTGGAGACGTTGTTGACTGTGTGTGCTTCATCAGGTTAAGAAAGTAATTACTATGTTGAACTTCTGTTAGTATATATTCCCTCCATTCCATATTATGTGTCGGGTTCGGTTAACGAGGCTTGATTGAAGTTATTTATAATTTAATTTTTCATAATATTAAGTTTAAAATTAGTATGTAAAATTTATATATTTAGAAACTACATTAAAAATATAATTAAACAAAAATCAAATTTAAAAATTATTTTTAAAAAATACTAATGAAAATAAACAAAAAATAATAATTGATTTGATCAATGAATAGTAAGTAGGACAAATAAAATAAGAGATATGGAGTATTAAATATTATCATAATTATATTTAATCATTTATCATATCTAGTATGAGTTCACAACTATGAATTTTATGTTATATACTATTTTTAAAATATATATATATTTAATATAATTATGATTTTAACATTAAATACCAATATTGAACATTTAGTTTTGCCCATCGCATATATAAAAGACTAATATCAATATAAAAATTAAACTCACAATACTGTAATATATATTTATTACAATGCTTTCTTTTTCGGTCTAATGTAGCTATATAAGGTCCACTCGCCTTAAAGTTGCTCCAAAAATTTACCAAGTATTTAATTTTTCTTTTTTTTTTTTTTAATTTATTACATTTTTGTTCAAATTTTGGGATGGTGGGACCTCCATTATTGGGGTTGTCTTTGTCCAAATTTATGGACTAAAAAATGTGGTGACAATTTGTTTTTGTGTTTTAAAGAGTATATATGATGGTTTTGCAAAAATTCCAACATATATATATATATATATATATATATATATATATATATGGATGAGTATGGATGAGTTTTGGTGGGGAGATGACTTCCCGTGGAATTGACGCACCTTAAGTATTAAAATGACACATCTTAAGTACACAAATCACGCATCTCAAACACACAAACAAAGCACCTTAAGCACACAAACAAAGCACCTTAAGAACACAAATCACACACCTAAAGTTTTAAAATGGCGCACCTTAAGTTTCAACAATTGACACATCTTAAGTATACAAATCACGCATCTTAATTTTTCTTCACTTTCCTTCATTTTTTTAATCTCTTAACGTCCCTTCTTAAGAGTAGTTATACCATGAACCAGGGTCCAACTTGCAAGGTGGACCCAGGTCCTAAACGACGTATAAATTGTGTATTTTTAGTATTGGAATTGTGAACTTCTACAATATAAATTGTATTTTTAAGTCAAAACAAATAACAACTGTAGAAGAGAATTTGTGAATACAATACATGGTCATCAAATCTTAATATGTTAATATTGTGTAACTGCATGATTTAAAAGGAACTTGTGAATACAAAACAAGGTAATCAATTACATATATGTTAACACTTAACATTGTGTGTTAGTAGTATACAAATTATGAATTTTTAAAGGATAAATTGTAAACATTTAGACTCGGGTACATATTGCAAAGTGGGCCCGGATCCACGAAATAGTTTGCACCTTCTTAAGTAATTGATATTATTAAGTTTTTTTTTTTTTTTTTTGAAAGCTACTGGCTCTATTACTTCACTGAGACCCGAACTCATAATCTTCCAAATGGAAGTCCAACCCGGGTACCATTAAATCACATATTCCTGGTTGATATTATTAAGTTAAAATAGCCCACTAAATTAAAAAAAAAAAAAAAAAAAAAAAAAAAAAAAAAAAAAAAAAAAAACTGAATTGGTCAACACATTTTTATTGATGAAAAATATTTTCATAGGTAAAAAGTTGATATTTACCAAATCAGTTAATGTTATTAACTAATAAAATTCATTAACCCAATCAGCTAACAAATATTTATCACTTACTATGTTAGTTACTACATACATTATCACTTATAATTTCCACGTACTTGTTGGTAAATTATCGTCACCTTATTATCTTAAACTAACTGTGGGCTTAATTTGGATTTGTGATAGCGAGGAGCAAGAGTTGATTGAATTACTAGTCAAAAAGGTGTTGAGAGAAGTGAGCAATTCACCAATGGCTGTGACTCCATTTCTTGTTGGGCATGATTTTAGAATGAAGGAAATAATGGAGATATTAGATGTTAAAGGAAATGGCATCCGGATTTTGGTGTTGCATGGCATTGGAGGGGTTGGGAAGACAACTCTGAGTAAGGCCGTTTTGAATAAACTAGCAAAGGAGTTTGAGCATCGCATCTTCATTGAAAACGTTAGAGAAACAGCTTCTAAGCACGGCGGCGTCTTGTTCCTCCAGGAAAAACTTGTCCACCATCTTTCCCAGCCAAAGCTTTCTATAGATGATATGACTGCAGGTTTGACCCTAATATATATATATATATATATATATATATATATATATATATATATATAGAGGGTTGCATTCACATGCAAACACCCTTAAAATACAAACATGTGGACATATATCGTGCACACACCTAAATGCGAGTGTGCACACATCCGTGGACATATACGGTGCACACATCCGTAATATGTACGTGTTAATTCACAGTATTTGGCCAGTGTGCACACGTCCATGAACGACAGTGCACAGTGGCGGACAACACACAAAATCAAATAAACTAATCACAACCTTAGATATCCAAAATCCAATGATCCAGAAATGTCCACACGTTTGTATTTTAAGCCCGGTTTTTATATGAATGTAATTTTATATATATATATATATATATATATATATATATATATATATATATATATATATATATATATATATATATATATATATATATATATATAATTGTACGTATGTGAAACATTGTTGTAAAAATCGGTCCAGGCCCTGATTAATGGCTAGGCGGCTGCCGACTGGTGGCAACCTAGGAGCTTACTAGGGGCTAGGCGCTCCTCGCCCTAAGCGATTTTGGCCTTAGGTGGACATTAGTCTGCCAACTCAACACCTAAATCGGCTGATTAGGTGGCAACCTAGGAGCTAATTAGGGGCTAGGCCCCCTAGCCTGAGGCGATTTTACCTTTATTTGGGCATTAGTCGGCCGACCGATTAATCGATCAACTCGGGGTGTGAGTCAGCTGACTAGGCGTCCAAATCGACCAACTAACAAGTGTTTTTTTTTTTTTTTGGTGTGCAATGTATTTTTTTATTATTGCCCTCTCCATCCCATTTAAGTGTCCGACTCGAGGTTTGACTCAAGTTATTTGCAATTTAATTTTTTATAATATTAAAATTATAATTAGTATGTAAATTTTATATATTTAGAAACTACATTAAAAGTATTATTTAAACACAAAAATCATTGTTTTAAAAAAAATAATAATAATAAACACAAAAAAATCAAATTTAAAAATTACATGAAAATACTCAAAGAAAAAAAGAATTGGTTTGACATGAAAAGTAAGTATTATAGATAAAATGGGACAGAGGGTCTCCTGCCTAGGCACTCTAGGGCTAGGCGTCCCTCGGGCACTCGATTAGCTAGGACCTAGCACCTTCTACAATATTGATGTGTCTTATGCGGTCTGTTATTATTATTAGTTTAAGTTTTTTGTTGAGACAGAATGCATCGTTCTATTGTTCAGGTGTAGCAGAGATCAAGAGAAGGCTTCGAGAGAAGCGTGTTTTCCTGATCCTGGATGATGTTGATGATATGAACATACTCAAGTCGCTAGCTGGTGATAGAGAGTGGTTTTTTGAAGGAAGCAGGGTTATAATCACTACCAGAAACAAAGAAATTTTGCAGAGTGAGATTGTGAGTGAAAGCTAAGAGTTAAGGGAATTGGGCTCTTCTGATTCACTTACACTTTTCAGCCACCATGCATTCAGAAGAGAAATGCCTCCTTCATCAGGGCCTTTTCTTGCTCTCTCCAAACAGATTGTTTCTGTTACGGGCGGCTTGCCGTTGGCTCTAGAAGTGTTTGGTTCTTTCCTGTATGTGTGATAAGAGAAGAGTGGATGAATGGAAAGATGCCGTCGAAAAGCTGAAGCAGATTGGTTTAGACCCTCTTCAGAACGTCCTGAAAGTAAGCTATGATGGGCTTGATGATGAGGAGAAGTGTATATTCCTTGACGTTGCGTGTTTGTTTCTTGATCTAGAAATGAAGAAAGAGGAAGTGATAGATGTGATGAAGGGGTGTGGTTTTAGAGGTGAAGTTGCACTGACAACCTTAGCCACAAGATCTTTGATTAAGGTTGTTGAGAATGATGAGCTGTGGATGCATGATTCAATCAGAGACATGGGAATGCAACTTGTTGTTCAACAAGGCCTTTCGGATCAAGGTAAACGCAGTAGGCTTTGGGATCATGATGATGTCTTGAGTGTCTTGCAGGATAGAAAGGTATGTATCAATGCAACTTTCACATGAAGCCTAGCTTGCCTTTACTTGAAGTATGTGAAAATTTAGCATGAAATATTTGATTGTATATGTTGGGTGGAGGTCGGTAAAGGCCAAATCTAACACTCAGTGGCTCGAAATTGTTAGACGGAGGTCGGTAAAGGATTTAAAAGGTCAAGTCCAGAACCCAGCATTTAAAAAATGTGTGGCGGTATAAGGAAAAAAAGTTATGTCCTTCACTACTAGCTTTAACTTTTGGCGTAGTGATAAATAGAGTTGTCAATACGGACTGACGGGACGGGGCGGGACAAAAAAGCCCGCTCCTTGGCGGGCCTGGGCTTTACTGGCCCAAACCGCCCCGCCCCTAACCCGCGGGCTAGGTGAGCCCCGCCACACCACATTTTTTTTTGTTCTTAACTCTTAAATTGTTACTTTATTAAATTTTACCATTTGTACAGTCTAATATACATACATACATACATATATATATATATATATATATATATATATATATATATATATATATATATATATATATATATATATATATATATATATATATATATATATATATACTAATTTTTTTTACGCGCATTGCGCGATTGGGATAATGCCCAATGTTTTTTTTTTTTTTTTTTAAATAAGTACTATAAAATATATCAATGTAAGATTATATTGGAATTGTTCATGCATAGATAATTGAATGTTAAATTTGCGTATTTAAATAGGTAATTCTAAGTTTACAAATGCAAGATAATATAGTCAAGATTGATTATAATTGCCAATAAAATAATTGTATGAGTATGGTTGAAACCAAATACGGGACATAAGGGAGAGCAAATAAAAATTAGGGCATAAAATATTAAATATATACTAATGTTGAAGAGCTAACTGCTGATTGCTCAACAAGGACATTGCGAGATAGTTTCCCACTTCGATTTGTTGTGTGATTTGAATACTCTTTTTGTCAATAATTTCTCCAAGTAGTTAATATGATTGACTTAATTATATTTTTTTATAACAATTATTATTATTATTATTATTATTATTATTATTATTATTATTATTATTATTATTATTATTATTATTATATGTATACCCTTAGGTAATTTTACATGTTAATTTAAACGGCTAATTTTTTTTTAAAATATCTTTTTACTAACCGTTGATATAATTCGTCAGTCAAATCCGCTAATGCTAACTGCTAACTGCTGATTATCAAACAAGGACATTGCGAGGTAGTTCTCACTTCAATTTGTTGTGTGATTTGAATACTCTCTTTGTCAACAAATCCCTCAAGTAGTTAATATGACTGAGTTTATTAATTATATTTTTAAATTTTTTAATTTTTTTCATGGTATTAATAAAATACTTGGTAAATAAATATATAGCATTAATTTGTATTAACTTTGATATTTAATTAAAAAATAGTGTACAAAAAAGATAATAGATAATGTAGTGAATATAATTAATTGATGAATTTGAATGTAAAGAATTTTTACATTGGAGAAAAATAAAGACAATATAACTAATGAAATTATTTCTCTTAATTAATTTATTGATAATGACTAATTTGTTTTTAATAAGGACATTGAATGGACAATGTAGCGAATATAATTAATTGATGAATTTGAATGTAAAGAATTTTTATATTGGTGAAAATAAAAACAATATAACTAATGAAATTATTTCTCTACCAAGTGGCTTGTGGTCCACTGGTATCCGATTGGCCCCTTATGTGGGACCTCTTAGGTTTGAGCCTCGGTGTAGGTGTAGATAGTATATGGGTATCCCCCTTCCTTTGTAATAAAAAAAAAAATGAAATTATTTCTCTTATTTTTTTTTTTTGAATGCTACTAGCTCTATTACATTGTAGTATCTGTTCATATACTTATTTCTCTTATTTAATTTATTGATAATGAATAATTTTTTTGAATAAAGACATTGTAGACACATAATTCTAAATTAAAGAAATGCATATGTATTATTTTTTGTTGTAGCTACTAAATTATTAATTTAATTTAATAAGAGTAAAATAGAATACCAATTATGCCAACTTTAATTTAATTGGGATGGGGTTCGAACCTGAGACATTTCTTATTAAAATCAAGGAATAAGGGTCAAATAAGCCACTGAACTGCACACCAAAGTGCAATTAGACCATCAAACTCAAAAATAATGCAATTGGGTCCTTAAACTACACAAAATCATGCAATTAGGTCTAAAATGACCTGTTGACTTGAAATTGTGCTGATGTGGCGGTTACCAATTTTAAAAATAAATTTTAAATAAAATAATTAATTAAATTAAATTATTTATTTAAAAAAAAAAAAAAAAAAAAAAAAAACTAGAACTGCCGGAGACGAATCGTCTCCGGCAGGTTTCGTCTCCATGGCCGGAGACGAAGCTTCATCTCCGGCCATGGAAACAAAGCCTTCGTCTCCATGGCCAGGGAGACGAAGCTTCGTCTCCTGGCCATGGAGACGAAGCTCTTCGTCTCCATGGCCGGAGACGAAGCTTTCTTCTCCGGCCATGGAGACGAAAGACTGCCGGAGACGATTCGTCTCCGGCAGTTTTAGTTTTAGTTTTTTTTTTTTTTTTAAATTATATAATTTTAATTAATTATTTTATTTTAAAATATATTTATAAATTATTTTTAAAATTGGTAACCTGCATTTCAGGTAAACAAGTCATTTTGGACCTAATTGCATGATTTTGTGTAATTCAGGGACCCAATTGCATTGTTTTTGAGTTTGATGGCCTAATTGCACTTTGGTGTGCTGTTGAGTAGCCTATTTGACCCTTATTCCTAAAATCAATGAGTAAGTTAACGGTGAACTAACAGAAATTAACGGAAAAGATAATATTTAACGGAAAAGTTAATGGATAATCATATTCATTAAGGATAAATTAGGAAATCTCAAGGAAAAATTAAGATCTGATCAATCTGAACCATTCATTTGATTAAAAAATTTGACCGCCATTTTTTCTACCCATTATAGGCCTAACTCTCTTGGGCTCTTATTAGTATATATATATATATATATATATATATATATATATATATATATATATATATATATATATATAAGTGGTGGGCATCCCGCGACCCACCAGGCCCGTGGGCTTAGGCGGGGCGGGCAAAAAAAGCCCGCTCCTTGGCGGGCAGCTATTTGCGAGAGATGCACATTCTCATACTGGCTCGTCTTGTTATTTTCTACCATTTCTCTTTGTATTGAACATTTGTTTTAATGAAGTTTTCTCCAGTTGGTTAAAAAAAAAAAAAAAAAAAGGGGATGGTCTGGCCCAGCGGGCAAAACCCGCTTTGACGGCTCTAGCGTAAACCCTTGATCCTAACAAGTGGTATTAGAACCAGGTCACGGGTTGGAAGGGTAGGAGCCATGCATGGCGGTATAAGAACTTGGTCCTAGATTCCTAACATTGCAGGGATCATTAGCTTTTGATGTAGTGATAAACACTTGATCTAACGGTATACATGTTGTTACAGGGAACTCGAGAAGTCGAAGGGATCATCCTGGACTTGGAGAAGAAGAAGAAAATCTCAAAGATCAGCAGTGCCAAAAGGATTGCCAGTACCCAACTTCACTTCTGCTCTAACATACCTAAGAGAGATGTACAAGCAGCAGGGCTTCCTCAGAAATGATTCAAACAATGTGATAGTAAGATCAGAATCATTTGATCCAATGGTTAATCTAAGGCTTCTTCAGTTTAGCGATGTGAAAGTCGAAGGAAATGTTGGGAAATTACCCAACTCACTAAGATGGCTTCAATGGAGAAACTGTCCCCTAAAAACCTTTCCTTCTAACTTTTATCCAAGGGAACTTGCTGTCCTGGACCTCTCAGAAAGCCCAATACTAAGTGTTGGGAACTGGAAATGGAGTTGGAATAGCAAAAAGGTATACACATATTTGATCTTTTAGTTATACGTATTCGAGTGTCGATTCAATTCCTCAGTTATTGTCGTGTCTATTTTTTGGCAGGAGACGAATAGGTTGAAGGTTATGAATCTCCGCGGTTGCTATAACATAACAGCACTTCCTGATTTATCTGCCCATAAAGCACTGGAAAAGCTCATACATACTTAAGCTTTGTACTTGTTTGAAAAGCATCCACAAATCAATCGGGGACTTAAAGGCGTTACGCCATTTGAATCTAGAACGCTGTTCAGAGCTGATAGAATTTCCAGCTGATGTCTCCGGGCTCAAAAATCTTGAAATTCTTATCCTCTCCGGTTGCTCGAGACTTAAACGTCTGCCTGGAAACATTGGGTGCATGAATGCTTTAAGAGAACTTCTGGTGGATGGGACTGCTGTAGAGAAGTTACCCGAAAGCATTTTTCGGTTAACGAAGCTTGAAAGGCTTAGTTTAGCCAATTGCCACTCACTAAAACAGCTACCCAGATGCATAGGAAATCTGTGTTCTTTGGAATATCTCTCCCTTTATATATGCTTCTGGAGTGGAGTTAATACCTGATTCTATAGGCTCTCTGGGCAATCTTGACACACTGAATTTACAGTGGTGTAGATCAATGGCTGTGATTCCCAGTTCTGTGGGCAACCTTAAATCATTAGCAAATCTCTATCTTAATGGCAGTGCAATACAATTTCTGCCAGAATCAATTGGTTCATTATACTACCTGAGGGCCTTAAAAGTTGGCTCGTGTGGGTATCCGACCAACTTGCCTGATTCCATCAAAGGCTTATCTTCCATGGTTGAGCTTCAACTAGATAAGACAGAAATCCCTCGACTTCCTTCTGAGATAAGAGACTATAAGCATCTTTGCCTCCTTCCTGAATCAATTGGAAATTTGTTGGCTCTCAACACCTTGTTCATAACAAGTACAGTTCTGCTATAAAGGATCGGAGTTGCCCGAATCGTTGGGGATGCTAGAAAATCTTATTATCATGAGATTGAACCATTGTAAGCAGCTATCTAGCCTTCCATCCTCGATCGGGCATTTGAAAAACTTACGCCATCTCATAATGGAGCACACATCTGTGGCAGCACTACCTAAGACATTTGGGATGCTTTCAAACTTAATGGTATTGAAAATGGGGAAGAAACCTTTTCAGCCAATATCTCACACCACTAATACTACTACCCTTTCGTTTTCTTTCTCGAAGCTTTCCCTTTTGGAATTGAAGAATTCGATGCTGGTGGATGGAGAATATCTGATGAGTTTGGGCAATTGTCATCCTTAGAGACACTGAATCTGAGTCACAATCATATTTCTGGCCTCCCTTCTAGTATGAGAGGAAATTGTGTGTTGAAAAAGCTTGTTATCTCCCATTGCAAATTGCTAATAGCTCTCCCTTCCCTTCCCTTCCCTCGAGTTTGGTTGAGCTAAATGCTGCAAACTGCATAGCATTAGAAACCATATTTGATCTTTCGAATTTGCAGAATCTAACCTCACAAATTGCGAGAGACTGGTAGATGTACCGGGCATTGAAAATATGAACAGCTTGAGAATGTTGCATATGAGTGGATGCACTTCCTGCGCTTCTCTCATTGGTACCAAACTTCATAAGGTAATATTGAATGTTACAATGACTTGGTTATGATACCACTTGTAAGTTATGATCAACCATTTATCACTAAGTCAAAAACTATAGATAGTAGCAAAGGTACAACTTTAATTTTTTTATACCAGTTTCACATTTTCGAGAGGTTGGGTGCTGGATTTAGACCCTTCAGACCTTTGCCTAGAAATCCCCTAGACACCTGGACTTGGTCCTTTACCGGCCTCCGCCCAACATCTAATGACCTTTAATAGAGTTAGAGCAAATACTAATTTTGGTCCCACGAGTATTAGCAAAATGACAATTTTGATCCACATGTTTAATTCCTACCAATTTTCATCAATGACTATTGTTTGAGTGCCAAAATTCATCACGTCGGTCACCCCATGCCAAAATATGAAATTATTAAGGGTATTTTCATCATTTTAAAATTAAAATCTCAATTTGAGCATGTGAATAAAATGATTTAAGCCCTAAGGTCTATCCCAATTCACAGTTCTCCTCCTCAAATTAAAGTAGAATGAGGAGAACTACGAATTTGGATCGATTTTAGGGCTTAAATCCCTTTATTCATGCTCAAATTGAAATCTTAAGTTGAAAATGACGAAAATACCCTTAAAATTTTAAATGAAGGAGTGACCGGTGTGATGAATTTTGGTACTAAAATAATAGTCATGGATGAAAATTGGTATTAAAACAATAGTACGTCGGGATGAAAATTGATACTAAAACAATAGTCGGGGTTGATGCAAATTGGTAGGAATTAAACATGTTGACCAAAACTATCATTTTGCTAATACTCGTGAGACCAAAATTGATATTTGCTGATTAGAGTTAGTAATTTCTCAGTTTCTTGCATGATGTTGATGTGCTAAATAAATAATTTTGGAAACCAGGATGCTGTGAAGAAGCTGTACAGTTTCAGCATTCCTGGAAGCGAAATCCCAAGGTGAGGTTCGCTTCTCGAGCCGAAGAAACATTGGGATTAAAGGTGTGATTGTGAGTGTTGTTGTTTCTGTCAACCATCAAATACCAGATGATCTAAGGGACGAGCTGCCTGTTATACCAAATATCCATGCTAAAATCCTGAGGGTGAATGAAGCAGTATATACTAGTGCAATGTACTTAGTTGGGGTTCCCAGAAAAGCTGAGGATAACTTGTATTTATGCCATTAGTTTCTGAGCTAAAAGATGGAGATACTATACAGGTAGGGATGAGTAGTGGCTTACCCATTCAAGGGATTGAGTTGAAGGAGTGTGGGATACATTTAGTTTTTGAAAACGATGACGATTATGGGGGCATTGAAGAATCTTTGGAGGAAAAGCAGCAATCTGTGTCAGAAAAGTTGACAAGGTTTATTGGATCTTCTTCTTCTTCTTCTTCTTCTTCTTCTTCTGTTGTAAATGGCAACCATACTTCAAGCTCAACTACTGTGGGAGGAGGATGGAGTTTACTTGGTTTTCTTCAGGACATGTTCTGCTTCTGGAAGAACCTCTGGGATGGATTCAGATCTCCATCAACATGAGAAAATTGGGCTGAACATATAATATACTCTAAGTTTAACTGTCACCAGAAAGTGCAATAACTAACAGGGACATCACAAGTTGACTTTTATTATTATTATTTTTTTGAAAACCAAAGGAACTTTCATTAAACCAACAAAAAGAATGAGTCTGAGAACGAGTAGCTCTTGTCAAAGCATGAGCAAACCTATTCACTGATCTTGATACATATTGAAATGACAATAAATCAAAGTGTCGTTGGAAAGCTCGGCACTCACGAATAACACAACCTGCATATGATAGATCCTGAGATGTGTCATTTAGCAGCCTACAAACATTCTTGCAATCAGAATAGATGATTACCTTTGTGAGACCCAACTCCTTAACCCAAGATAAAGCTTCCTTCACCGCGAGAGCTTCAACTAGATGAACATCACTTAAACAACGGATTGGGCCATTTTTAGCTGCTACGAATTCCCCATTTTTAGTTGACTTTTAATTTGATAGTTAAAAATATTATATTATCTTTGTTCACTATTTCACTAAATATAACTGCCTTTATCCTCTTATATGGGGTTAAAGTCTAGCACCCAGCCACACTTTCAAAATACCAAAACACTAAATTTGCAATTAATAACTATATTCATCCTCAATTCATGCAATTACCTCTTCTTTTTTCAAAAATGATCCTAGTATCACATCACCTAAAAACTAGAAGGCCTTTAACGTCGACTTCAGCTATTTAGGGTCTTTAACGTCGGCTAAAAAGCGACATTGTTCTGGGCGACGTTGTATAGTAAACCTACAACGTCGGCTAAATTAAAACTGACATATTTTTTTTATTATTTTTTTAATAAGACTTCTAACGTCGGTTAAAAACCGACGTGTATACTTATTTTTTTAAAAAAAATAAAATATACAACGTCGGCTATTACGAAATAACCGACGTTGTATATTTTATTTAAAAAAAAAAAAAATAAGTATACACGTCAGAAATAACCGACGTTAAAAGTCTTATTAAAAAAATATATACATACAAATTCAATTTGTATGTCTGACCATGGAGCCTATTGGAAACGTGATCATAAACCTGAAGCCTTTTTTGTTTTTTTTTTTTTGTTTTTTAAAAACCATTGAAAATTAAGTATACCTTCGTACAGGTAGCTATAGCTGCTTATCTAGTAAAAAACCATTCTCAACAAGAGAAACACCTGACCAAATTGGGCTTCCAGACAATAGAAAATATAAATGATAATACAACAGCAACTCAGCAAGTAAACTGAAAGCTACAAAAATGCAGGTGGGATTTTAATGAAAGATACTAAGATCAGACCTATGTTATAGCCAACAGTACATGGAGAAAGGTTTCAAGTAAAAAATTGGTTCTCTATGATTTGTACCATCTCTCAAAGGCGGCGGATTCTGGCACGCTCGTGTACAAGTCCTTGAAGTCAGCTGGCATTGTAAGATAAAATGCATGTCTACAGGGAACATCTTAATCTTAACAAGAATCTCAATCCTCCTCTTCAGATGCTTCTATGAGCCACTGAATAAACTTTTCCGACTGCTTGACAAAAACCTTATCTGATTCATCTGCTTCTTCCTTCTCAGAAGCCCACTTAAGTATAGCCTCTTCTTGGATAATGTCTTTTTTTTTTTTTTTTTATAAAGAAGAATGCTCCTTTGCAGATTCCAAGCACAATTCTTCAAATTTCAATATCACTTCAATCTCCTCATCAATGCTTGGCAAATAATACTTCAGAAGTTTTCCCCATTTTGTAAGTACAGTTGCTACATTTTTTACCAGTTCAAGAGGTGACCTGGAGCCTATTGGAATGAATAAAACATAAATATGTCGAAAAACATTATTCTTCCGTGTTCTTTTCTTTTACTTCCACCCTAACCAGCCACAGTAGTCCGAAATATAAAAAGAGACCTGGTCCTTCCTACTTATCCTTTCCCACAAAACTAATTAAACTTCCATTGATGCAGCACATAAGATAAAGATGAATGAAATTTACCTTTGACTCTTCTATCTTCTCATTCAAGCGAGAAATTTGTAAAGCGTGCGTCTTAGAAACACTGCATTGATGATTGCAAATCACTGCCACCTACAGCACAATATACTAATTATTGAAGTTCTTCCACCCAATATACCAAATGCAATATACCTTAGATGTGGCTTTGGATTGTTTTTACCTGCTTGTTTGAAAATTGATATACAGCGTATTTCTCTGCAACATCTCCCCCCTTTATGAGCCTAGCCAACTGAATCAAGAGTACAAATTAAATAGGGGAAAAAATCAACTCCGGTTGGTTCTTTCAGCATTCTAGTGTCCAAGTATGGTTGACAACTAATTGATAAGACATTCTCTTTTAGTTCCAACCTTGCACATTACTTGCCGGAATAATAGCTGGATCATTGATTATTTGAACAGGTGGAGAAGCCTTCACCTGTAAATCCTGCAAAAGAGTACTTTTCAAGCTTTAGTTGAGTTCAGCTTTTGATACAGATTACAGAAATAATAATGATAAACAACAAGACAATTGTAAACTCAAAATAAAGAACACTAGCAATAAATTCATGTGTAATGACTATTGACTGAACAAGCAGATACAAGCAAACAGTATCCAATCCACAGTTGGAGCTGGTTTAACTCTCTTTTTTTTTTTCACATTTAAAATGCAGTGGATGACATTTTATCAACTTATGATAAATAGAAGTCAATTTGGTCACTTCAGAGTTCAGTAAAAAGGAAAGAAAACAGGGATTAGATCACCGAAGAAATAATGACACGCCATTGCAGCCTTGCTTAGCGTTTTATATTTTCAACTCAAGGAAAATTGGTAATGAGAACATTTTTCTATCAATCATTGCTCTCAAACACCTTGTAATTCCTACAAACTTGTTAGAATTTTGTCCTAGTATTCCTAACAAGACTTCCAATTCTTACAAAATATTTATTAATGATTTATATTCGTAGTAATAAATAACATTTCTTTCAAAGTGCAAAATTCAAAACAACACTTCCAATTCTAACAATAATTCAAAATATAACCATAATGTCTAAAATTCAAATATATCAACCTAATATCATATCAATAAATCCTAAAAAATATATCAACCTAATAATTCCAAATATATAAACAATAACGTTAAAATTCCAAATATATAAACAATAACTTATAAAATTCAAAATATATACTAATAATTCCTAAAATTCGAAATACAATTACCAAATAAATTCAAATATATTTATTATAATTCAAAAAATAATTAGAAATTAGAAAATTTAAATTTAAATAAATAATTAAAAAAAAAAAAAAAAAAAAAAAAAAAAAAAAGGACGTCGAACCCCGGAGATGCGTCGAACCTCGGAGATGCGGGAAGGCAGGCGGCGGTGTCTCGATGCGGCGGGAAGCGGCGGAGATGCGCGGTGGGTGGCTGTGGCTGTGCGGGTGAACCTCGAGGCGTCGAAACGAAGGCTTGGGCGGAGGGAGGTGTGGCGATGGCTGTGACGCTAGGCGGTGTCGCGGTGAGCGGTGGCGGTGATGTCCAGTGTCGAGGGGCGCAGTGGCGGTGAAGGATGATGTCGCATTGGAGGCTGGGAAGATGAAGTCCGCTGAATATATTTGCGTATTTGCGTTTACAAGAAGGGTTTTAAAATCCCTTCGACGTCGGCTATTAGTTAATAGCCGATGTCGTAGGCTTAACAAATTAAAAAAAAAAAATAAAGTAAAATAACTTACGACATCTATTATTTTAATAGCCGACATTGTATTGTATTTATTTTTTTATTTTTTTTATTTATAACATATAACATCAGTTATTAACTAATAGCCGACGTTATATATTTTTTTTTTTAAAAAAAATTTTAAAAGACTTTTAACGTCGGCTATATATATAGCCGACGTTAAAAGTCTGTCGTTGTATTTAAATTCTGTACTAGTGTATATTAAGAGGCCAGCGAACCATGTGGTACATGTGCTTGCACAGGTTGCTGTTTCTTCCTCTGTCTTCGGGATGTGGATTACTCACCCACCTGATTGTATTGCGAGTTTGATTTTAATATAATCCTTTTTTCCTTTCAAAAAAAAATAAAAATAAAAATTAAGTAAATTTATTATTTTTAAAATACAAAATAATTTATTTATAATTTATATTATCTACTATACTAATAAGAGCCCAAGAGATTTTAGGCCTATAATCGGTAGAAAAAATGGCGGTCAAATTTTTTAATCAAATGAATGGCTCAGATTGATCAGATTTTAATTTTTCCTTGAGATTTTCTAATTTATCCTTAATGAATATGATTATCCGTTAACTTTTTTGTTAAATATTATCTTTCTCGTTAATTTCTGTTAGTTCACCGTTAACTTACTCATTGATTTTAATAAGAAAGGTCTTAGGTTCGAACCACATCCCAATTAAAGTTGACATAATTATTACTCTATTTTACTCTTATTAAATTAAATAATAATTTAGTAGCTACAACAAAAAATAATACATATGCATTTCTTTAATTTAGAATTATGTGTCTACAATGTCTTTATTAAAAAAAAAAATTATTCATTATCAATAAATTAAATAAGAGAAATAATTTCATTAGTTATATTGTATTTATTTTTCTCCAATATAAAAATTCTTTACATTCAAATTCATCAATTGATTATATTCGTTACATTGTCCCTACAATGTCTTTATTAAAAAAAATTATCCATTATCAATAAATTAATTAAGAGAAATAATGTTATTTGTTATATTGTCTTTATATTTCTCCAATTACAAAATTCTTTACATTCAAATTCATCAATTGATTATATTCACTACATTGTCTATTATCTTTTTTGTGCACTATTTTTTAATTAAATATCAAAGTTATAATACAAAATAATGCTATATATTTATTTACCAAGTATTTAATTAATACCATGAAAATATTAAAAAAATATATAAGTAATAAAGTCAATCATATTAACTACTTGAGAGATTTGTTGACAAAGAGAATATTCAAATCACACAACAAATTGAAGTGATAACTACCTCGCAATGTCCTTGTTTGACAATCAACAGTTAGCGGATTACATTAACGAATTTGACCAGCAAATTATATCAACGGTTGGTAAAAAGATATTTGAAAGAATTAGTTGTTTAGATTAACATGTAAAATGACCTAAGGGTATACATATAATAATAATAATAATAATAATAATAATAATAATAATAATAATAATAATAATAATAATAATTGTTTATATATATATATATATATATATATATATATATATATATATATATATATATATATATATATATATATAATTAAGCCAATTATATTAACTATTTGGGGGATTTATTGACAAAAAGAGTATTCAGATCACACAACAAATTGAAGTCGGAAACTATCTCGCAATGTCATTGTTTGACAATCAGTAGTTAGCTTTTCAATATTGGTATATATTTAATATTTTATGTCCTAATTTTTATTTGCTCCCCCTTATGTCTCGTATTTGGTTTCAACCATACCTATACAATTATTTTATTGACAATTATAATCAATCTTGACTATATTATCTTGCATTTGAATTACAAACTTAGAATTGCCTATTTAAATACGCAAATTTAACATTCAATTATATATGCATGAATAATTCCAATATAATCTTGCCTTGATATACTTTAAAGTACTTATTTAAAAAAAAAAACATTGGGCATTATCCCAATCGCGCAATGCGCGTAAAAAACTAGTTAACATAATAATAATAATAATAATAATAATAATAATAATAATAATAATAATAATAATTACATTGCAGTATTAAAAAAAAAAAAGTACATTGCAATTCTGACACAAAAATTGCAAATGATGTTAGAATTGCATCACATCAACTAAACAATTCCCACTAAAAAAACCCACATTGGATTTGCAAGCATGGCAAATAGCCTAAGGCAAAACATTATATTGATATTTTAATTAAATTAAACAATTAATAATAGCATTCAAAAAAAAACAATTAATAATAGTTAAATAAGTCAAAATTGTATCAAACACGGCCATAATATAACTTCAATAATTGTACTTACAAGTTTATAATTATAATGGGAATTTATGTAATCGGTCAAAACTCCTTGTTGATTGTACTTGGTATAAGTTGTTTTGTATCATATATGATTGAAAACCATTTCAATAACACTTAATATAATAATATATTCTACTGAATACTATTAAAAATCATTTGAATAATACATATCAAGTACCATACATAATTATGTGGGGTACTATATTGAAACCATTCTATATACTAAATATTATTAGAAATCACTACTAATAGTAGACGGTGCAATCCATTACTATCCTAGTGTCACATTACCTAAAATGAATTATGGCTTGTTTGGTTGGGCGTAATTTGACTGTAGTTGAATTGCAATTCAGTGAAAGTCACAATTACGCCGTTTGGTTGGAAGTCACAACTACAGCTAAATTACACCCAACCAAACAAGTCTAATTCACATCTATGTAATTCATCTTCATCACTTTAAAAAGTGAGTCCTAATGTAAGGTTGACCTCATACCTGCAAATTTTTCCTCTTTCTAGATGATGTGACTTTTTAAAAGTCATTTTGTTTTAATTTTTTTACTACGTTGGATAGAAAGCTTGCAAAAGTAGCAAGCTTTCTAATCCTGACAAAGGCGTGTACTTTTTTTTTTTTTTTAATATTTTGTTTTACTTTATTAGCTATTTATTATATTATTATATTTATAATATAATAATATAATATGAAAGTTGGACCACTTTAGAAAGTGAGAAAATATTTGAGAGAGAGTTGTTGGGATAATGTTAGCCTAATATGAACCGACCCTAAGGGCCCCCACACTCCGACAGAGCATGTGAGAAGATCTGCCCACTTTAAACATAATTTCCACACTACCGCCGCCGAAGTTCGAACCTTGGTCTCTTGTCCCAAATACTGCCCCTAAACAATTGAGCTAAGCTCATGCGAGTTTTTTTTTTTTTTTTTTTCCTATTCATACAATTCAACTCACTTTTAAAAGCAACTCCTACTTTTATATCAATTTAAAAAAAATATTTTCTTCCATTAAAAAAATTACTTTACAATGTTTAAAAAAAATAAAAATAGAAATTATGTACAATTATATTCTTAAAAATTAATATAAAATATTTCATATTACATAAATAATCAAAATAAGAAATTTGTAATACGTGGAAAGTTGTAAAATATTTTTTGTTTAAAATTACATATGCTTCTGATAATTGCAAGGTTACAGATATTTTTACTAATAATAAGTCTAATTCAAAATTGTTTCACATGAGATGTGTAATAACTTGCAATATTATTGGTTTTTGGTGTTTAGCGGCTAAGTCCATTGTCTAATCACCTGTGCCTAAGTTGCGGCCAGTTGTGGAATGATGGTGCCTAAGTTGTGGACTTATGCGGAACGATGGTGCCTATATTGCGAACTTGAGCGGAATGATGGTGCCTAAGTTGCGGACTTATGCGGAACGATGGTGCCCAAGTTGCGGAATTATGCGGAATGATGGTGCCTAAGTGCGGACTTATGCGGAACGATGATGCCTAAGTTGCGGACTTATGCGGAACGATGGTGCCCAAGTTGCGGAATTACGCGGAACGATGGTGCCTAAGTTGCGGACAGTTGCGGAACGATGGTGCCTTAGTTGCGGAATTATGCGGAACGATGGTGCCTAAGTTGCGGACAGTTGCGGAACGATGGTGCCTAAGTTGCGGAATTATGCGGAATGATGGTGCCTAAGTTGCGGAACGATGGTGCCCAAGTTGCGGAATTATGCGGAACGATGGTGCCTAAGTTGCGGACTTATGCGGAACGATGGTGCCTAAGTTGCAAACAGTTACGGAATTATGCGGAACGATGGTGCCTAAGTTGCGGACAGTTTCGGACTTATGCGGAACGATGGTGCCTAAGTTGCGGACAGATACGTAACGATGGTGCCTAAGTTGTGGACAGTTGCGGAACGATGGTGCCTAAGTTGCGGACTTATGCGGAACGATGGTGCCTAAGTTGCGGACTTATGCGGAACGATGGTGCCCAAGTTGCTTAATTATGCGGAACGATGGTGCCTAAGTTGCTGACAGTTGCGAACTTATGCTGAACGATGGTGCCTACGTTGCAGACTGTTGTAGAACGATGGTCCCTAAGTTGCGGACAGTTGCGGAACGATGGTGCCTAAGTTGTGGAATTATGCGGAACGATGGTGCCTAAGTTGCGGACAGATGCGGAACGATGGTGCCTATGTTGCGGACTGTTGCGGAACGATGGTGCCTAAGTTGCGGACAGTTGCGGAAAGATGGTGCCTAAGTTGCGGATAATTGCGGAACGATGGTGCCTAAGTTGCGGACTTATGCGGAACGATGGTGCCTATGTTGCGGACTTATGCGGAACGATGGTGCCTAAGTTGCGGACATTTGCGGAACGATGGTGCCCAAGTTGCGGACTTATGCGGTACGATGGTGCCTAAGTTGTGGACAGTTGCAGACTTATGCGGAACGATGCTGCCTAAGTTGCGGACTTATGCGGAACGATGGTGCCCAAGTTGCGGACTTATGCGGAACGATGGTGCCCAGGTTGCGAACTGTTGCGGAACGATGGTGCCTAAGTT